TCTTGCGTGGAGCCCCAGATCGAGGAAGATTATCAGTGGTCTTGCATGTTTTCCATTTTCTAATAATTGATCCCACAGTTGATTTCTTCACACCAAGCTGTTTACCTATTGCAGATTCAGACTTCCCAGCCTGGTGCAGGTCTATAATTTTGTTTCGGGTGTCCTTTGACAGCTCTCTAGTTTTGGCCATGGTGGAGTTTAGAGTGTGACTGTTTGAGGTTGTGGACAGGTGTCTTTTATACTGATAACGGGTTCAAACAGGTGCCATTGATGAAGGTAACGAGTGGAGGACAGAGGAGCCTCTTACAGAAGAAGTTACAGGTCTGTGAGAGCCAGAAATCTTGCTTGTTTGTAACTGACCAAATACTTATTTTCCACCATATTTTGCAAATAAATTCTTTAAAAATCAGACAATGTGATTTTCTGGATTTTTTTATTCTCATTTTGTCTCTCATAGTTGAGGTATATCTATGATGAAAATTACCGGCCTCTCTCATCTTTTTGAGTGGGAGAACTTGCACTATTGGTGGCTGACTAAATACTTTTTTGCCCCACTGTATACCCAGTTATTAACCTCAGGTGGCTTTAAGAGGAATTTTTCACACCATTACATCTCTAAAGAGACGTGCTAGTCAACAATTGCGTAGGGGGCCTACCAGGTGTCAGTGAGAGGGGCCCCATCACTGACTCATAAGCAACTGCTGTCTCTGCTCACCATATTTACGCTATTGCTCCAGGTTTCATAAATTTACTCAGATTACATACATAGGTTTATGTAAGGTAGGGTGGAGGCTTTGAGGACCCAAATGCAGCGAAGAGTAGGCAGAGATGAGTTTTGCTGATTTAATTAACAACAAACAGGCAACTGAGGCAAAAAAAACCCTGCAAAAATACTGAAACTGAAACAAAAAACAATAACGTCAGGGAAAATACACATGGGGAGCAAGAGACGAGGAAGCAACAAAAAAACAACAAGAAACCAGCAAGCATTAACTCCAGATGTGGTGTATATGAAGGGAACAGAACGAAGGATGGCTAATGAGCTGATATGGAGCAGGTGTGAATAGGACTAACTAGAAGGGAGCCAAGGGAAGGAACAGGCACAAGGGGGCAACAGAGAGTAACTAATACTAACCAGACAGAAGACAGCTATAGAGAACAAACCCTGACCCTTTACTCATATTACATAAATACTCAGATTACCTGATTACATAAACAGGTTACTCGATTACATACATCAACTACTCAGATTACATGCATACAACTGAATGCAGGTGATGCTTGGGGGAGTCTTCCAATTTTTCTTTGCCTCTAAACTTCATTTCAGAAACAATATGTGAAGTTTTTTGAAGCATACTGTGATGCAATACTAAATCTATTTTGCAGTTTTTTTTTTATTTATTATTATTTAGCAAATAAATGTATTCCTGTGGAGCTGTAAGCACCATACAATGCATGGTGCTTGCATTGCTATGGCAGGTGCCAATAATTGTATTAGCGAGGCTTATTTGTCAGGTTGTCATTTTTTTAAACTAAAACATTGAATCAGGCACTTCACAGTTCTCATTCATTTTTCTGTAAATGTTTTAAACTGCTCCAATACAACATTCACATTTTAAATATCGTCTTAATTAGATGTATCCAGAAAAGTATCATAATCAACAAAAATATGACTTGAAATCAGAATTCTGTGTGCAGCTATTCTATCAAATTTTCACCTAACTGAATTAAACAAATTAAAATTTCACAAAAACATTTTTTTTGTTTTTTTTAATGACCTTTGAAGGAAAATGAAGAAAAGACCTTTTCAGAACGAAGTCAAAACTCTGCTGGTTTCCTTTCAAAATGTGCCTCACAGATAAAACTGAAACAGCTTTATTATGCACATGGAGTCACAGGTCTTTGGGGTATAAACCCAATTACACAGAGTAAAACTCGTGTTGTAATTTTAGAAATGAGACCAGTAGTAGAAACAATGCAGAACACATGGTTGACGCCAGAAGGCGTGACAGGAATGGATGAACGGGACCAGGCAGGCAATTGGCAACCACGCAGACACGGCTGTTACCAAAGAAGAGCCTGAATAATAATGAGCCTCTTTGAATCGATCAGCTGAAAATGCTTGTTTTGACACAGAGCCCTGGTCCAGGAAAGCACATTACTGGGATTTGTATCCTTGATAATAATTTCATGGTTGGGAAACCTAAATGTACCATAAAAAACCAAAAAACATATTGGATCTTGTGGTTCCCTGGTTTAAATTTCAGTGTATGCCATTGTGTGAAAGTATCTCCAAAAACACTCTGGTCTTGTTTCTCTCTTCTGAGGCCTTTCTTTTCTTCTCATACACTTCGTAGACACTTTTTTTCTGACGACCCTCTGCCACTTTCAAAGAACCCCCATGAGAAAGGTGAGCTTCTATTACTGGCTGAAGCCGTAGCTCACTACAGATATATGCCTAAAAGTGCTCATACACAGAAAAAATATAGCTAGCTTGGGAAGAGCACGTAGGAAAGCCTTACATAAACATATCACCAGAATGATTGACAATTAGGAGGACCACTTATTTTGATGATCCACCTGGAAATAAAAGATTGTCAGCTATACCTTTAAAGAGCATTTAAAGTGTAAATCCCAACAGGTTCGCTTTGTTATATCTTCAAATCCGTTTTAAGTGCCAAACACTTTGCTGTAACTAAATGCTTGTTCGCAGGGTTACTGCATAATGTCAGTATTCAGGGTTGGACTAACTTGTTTTAACCTGCCTGTTCATTGTACCTTATATGCTCCGATGACAGTCTTTCAGACTAAAAGCTCACATCAGTAGAAAGCTACAGATACAAGCATGAGCAAATATTCTGTTTGCTTTTGGACTATTTTTGATTTCCACCAAGACATATTCCTGCTGCATCTTATTGTAAATTATATTAAATTACCTGCGTTAAACACTAATTTAATTTCCTTAGTTGAAAATCTAAACAAATTCATGCAGGGATACCATAAAGAAAACATCTGTACTAAAATCTTGTTGAATAGGGCTTTAAGGGTTATAAAAGACGCTGACACATAATTTAAAACGTCTAGAAACTAGATGGTTTTTACATACCAATCCTTTCTAACATTAACTGTCTGTGACATCTGTATATGTTATGCAAACTCTTAAGGTAACTAAGGTGTCGTTAGCGCATGACTGCCTGTAACTCATTGTTGTTTTAAAACTTGGCCTCCAAGGGCACTATAGTCCGATTCATTGAAAACTCTTTGAAAAAGCTTTGTGAAGTGTTGTGTACTAAATCATTCTTTTATTGGAGTTGCATAATCTCACACTAATAAACATAGAAACACCAGACTCCCAGTTTAAGTGCATGTATACAGCAGGGGAAAAAAAAAAAGAAGTTTTATAATTAACCAACATCAGCATAGGTGTTGGTTCCCCTAGTATCCCTTGGGAAACAGTTCAATCTAAAGCTTCTTGTAATTTCTACTTCAGTGTTAATCTAGGTTTCTAGGAATTTAATAATCCATGACTTCCTGTTAAGTGTGCAAATATGTGACAGAGGGCCTTTTCTAGTAACTGCAGGATCCCAACACAGAAGTGGATGGGAGCAAAACCCATCCACTTCTGTATTGCAGTTTAAATCCCATTCTGACATTGACACAGCTCAATTGGGATGAGAAAAAAAAAAAAGATTATTGGCTATAGTCAGAATAATAAGATAATCTTTTGAGCTTCTATTAAATCTTTCAACAAATTCAGCTTTCTTGCATCTCCAAATTAATGCAGCAAGTTTGAGAAATCCACAATTATGGTAAGGTTTGGGAATTAAAGTTGTCTGTAGTTGACTTAGACTCAACTTTATTTATCCCTTGGGATTACGCCTTCAGGGAAATTCTGTTTCCAGTAGCTTATATACACTACAAAGAGTTAAAGCAAGATGCCCTTAAAGATAAAAATACAACAGACAATATAGTCTATATAGTACAAGAAAGCATAAGAAAGTTGTAATGTTCTGGAATATGTTTCCTTTAGATATAAAAATATTGACACAGTAAAGAGCTAAGAATAGACTGCAGAGAAGTTGGCATGTGTTATTGCACAGTGAGAGAATATTGCACAAGTAACAATGTGTAATGCAAACCTGGTACTCAGGGTTGGAGGCATTCTTCTGCATATTTTAGACGTTTTCCTGCTGGCAAACCATTAACTTCATGTTTTTCTTTACGTGTCTTGTTTGCAGGGTCAGTGCAGCCAGTAAGCTACAATGCAGCACATGGAAAACTGTCCCTTTTAGGTTCCTATCACTGATGACGATGTCTCTGTTTTCCCTTTTTCCAAGGTACACTTGTTTTCTAATAAAAAGAACTAAAAGATTTAATGATGAACTGGCTTGCCAAAGATTTGCTTTAATAATGAATAAGATCCCACAAAAAGCCAAATCATGATAATCTAATGAAGATTCATTTATATATATATATATAAAAAAAAAAACATGGATATCATGCTCTAAAGTTAAATAAGTTATACAAAAATTGGGTCAAATCAAACATAACTTTCACTCATGTCAGAATTATTAAGTAACTAAGCCAGCCCCTCCCATGCATGAAATCGGCGCTCTTCAGGGGGTAATCTCGATTATGCACACTTAAAACATGTGCTGTAGTTTTATTCAATGTGATCAACAGAAGAAACATTGATGGCAGGGAGGGACACATGAACAGTGGCAAGCCTTTAGACATGCTTATTCCTTATCTGCTCTATATGAGGTTGGGTTCTTGGAAATCTAGGTCATATGAAGAATGTGAAAATGAAGTTCAGACCTATGCAGCATTTTAACTCTAGGAAGATCAGCTTCAATTTCAAAGCGATGGAAACTAATCTCTGTGAACATCTTTTTGCATCAAAAATACACAAGGGCAAATGGAAGAATTTTTTTATTGAAAACTATATAGAGGTTCTAGTGTCGTTTCATACAGTATACATAAGCTCAAAGTGTGGCAGGAACAGAAACAAAAGAACAATCAGGCAGTTTTCACAGGAGCGCAGCGAGCGAGTATCTCAGTTATGTGCGTGTTGTTTTTGGACACCAAATCATCCTTTAATCTCTTGATTTCCGCTTTCACCTCCTCCTCAGACATGGTAGCAACAGGGAGTGCCTTAACCTTCAGCAGAAAGTCCTGGATCAGATTTTCTCCCACCTGAGGAAGATGTAGGGCAGATTATTAGGTATAAAATGTAAGGAAGGACCCTGGAAGAGGCCAAAGAATAATGCATGTGCAAATGTGAGCAGGACTAAATTAAACTGAAGCAACATTTGCTGAGTCTACCGTTGTGAGATGGAAGGGAAGTTATAAATGGCCTTTATAGAGGGTTTTTGAAATCAAAATGTGAAAGTGTAGCTTATATTAGTTTAGCCATTTTCAGACAATACTTGCCGTTTTTGTTTTAGAGGCTTTTGGGTTGATTTCCGTTCAGATTTACACATCAGTTACAAAAGACTCAGCAGCTTTAATACGGTAAGGGTAAAATTCTGAAATTTGCAGCCGCAAAAGAATTTCAAATGATGAAACCATGCATAGACATGTCACCACAAACTTCAACCTCATATCCCACTTTCCGTTGAACTGGCCGCGGTTTCACGTGAAATTTTACACGTTTACAGATACCCAGAAGGCATGGCTATCACCACTATCACAGTTAGGGACAAATGCAGAGGACTAATTCCCACTGAGATCAGCTTCATAGTCATGGTACGCCACTTCTTTGATTTTACTTTGGAAAATCTTTGAATTTGAATTATGAATCTATTAATATTTGGAACAAACCTCACAAAACATTGCACTAATATCTGAGTATCTCAAGTATTTTTTTATTCAAATTCAATCAATTAAACTGAAACAGCTGAGATCATTTTCAAAATCTGAAAAAAAAAATGCTTACAAAATCAAATACATTAGAATTAGCCTGAAAATAAAATAAGCCGATATAAAATCTAATAATTTCACTCACCTTTCAAATATTCATTTAAAGTATTTATTTTATAAAAAAATACTGTTTATCAGAAAATCAGTATTTCTTCTATTGGCGTATTTAAAGTAAACTAGGCTACATGCTGGCAATGAATGAGTTAAAACTATTATAACAGGTCCTTCAAACTATATTTACCATTGATCGGTTAACAGGCCTGTTGTGCCAAGAATGAACTCCCCTGTTGCCCCAAACTCACCCATTGATTAGAAAACGGATTGAAATATGAACGAAAAGGGGACATTTTAAACATATTCTTAATATTTTCATAATTCTTATACATGGATGCCTTAAATTTATAGTTTTGATGGACAGATAAATTTGAATTAATAGAATTTAATTTGTATGGAGACATGTTTCAGTCGATGTGCTACAGTCAGTGTGCGATGAATAAATTCTTTGCTCAATGGATGCCAATTTCCTGATTTTGAACAGCTTCACCTGCTCCGCACGTAGCGCAACTGAGGTTGAAAATGAGAGCGCATGTGCCCTCTGTGCCACCATAATTTGGTCAGGCTACTCGTAAGCGCATAGCCTGCTAAATGTTTAAAGGGCAATGTTATTGCCATTACTGCTAATATATAATAGAAATTTACACATTCAGTGATAAAAAGTCACAGGGGATGGCCATTTAACAAGGGGGATTATTTTTATGATTTCTTTTAAGAAGGGGGATGCCTTCCCCCTCAACTTGAGAACTGAGTAATTTTATGTAATAAAGTATTTATGTATGTTAAAAAAAATAAAAATAAAAAAAATAAAAAGTCGTTCAAAAGTCCGTCAGCATTTCTGCATTACATGGTTTGTATCAAGTCCAAACAGTTCTGTCTATCTGATGAGGCCCCTGGAGAATAATATTTTTATTATTCTAATTCATGACTGACTCAGCTCAGAATGCATGAGGAGAGTCTACATTTTTAAAGTATCTTCAGTTGGATTTAGATCTGGACTTTGACTAGATCTTTTTAAACACAACCTTTGATCTAATCTGGTGGTTCCAAACCCTGTTCCCCAAGAACACCTGTCCTCCATGTTTTAGGCGTCTCCTCTTTGTTCCAGACCTCACCTCTATGAACCTTCTGCAGCACTAGGGGTGGAACGGTTCACAAAATCCACGGTTCGGTTCACGGATTTTGTGGTAACGGTCTTCGGTTACCTATAAAGTGCTGCTGGCGCGTCTTCCTACTCCTGTTCTTTCCCACTCGCCACACCCACACAAAACTTCACAACAACTGATTTTTTTCTGCTACACCCGGCTACGCTGCTCCGCTTCTTCTTCTTGTTTACTACTGGTGGTTGGCTTTGGTTGCAGTACCGCCACCTTCTGCTCTGGTGTGTAAACGCTTCGCCTATGAGAAAAAGGAGCAGCGCAAGAACCGAACGCAACACACACGAATCGAACCGAGACAGTCGAACCGAACGGTTCGGACGGTTTTCATAAACCGTTCCATCCCTATGCAGCACTTAATGGCGAAGTCATACAATCATCTAAATCAGGCGTGCTGGAACAGACATATCTAAAACCTGCAGAGCAGGAGTACTTGAGGACCAGGTCTTGGGAGTGGGATCCACTGATCCACTGCAGCGCAGACTGTACGATTAAGTGTTAGAGCTCAGCTGGAAAGGAAACTTTCATCCCAATGTTAAACTCTTTGCATCTTCCCCACCAACTGACCAGCTTTCCCACAGCATGATGCAACCACCACTATGACTCACAGTGGGGCTGTTTCACTTAAGGCAATAAATGTGTTTAGTTTTCTGCTATACAATGGCTGCACATACAGTTCTAAAAACTTTAATTTCCATCTTATCTGCATGTATTCCTGGAAAAACAAAATCGCGTAATCAGTACCTCTCTTGTAATTTTCTGATTAGGTTTCTGATCTGCCCCTAAACCAAGTGCGGCCACACAGAAGGAAATAAAGGCCATTACATAATTATTATATAATAAAACAGCAGAAAAATTGTGGAAAATTTAGACTAACCTGCTTCTCAGTTCGTCTCCTCTTGGCCTCTGGCTCTTCCGCCTGGTTTGGATCATCCCCTACTGGTTCCTGGAACTCCTCCAGCTCCTCCGCCTTGTCCCTTGCCACCGCCAGCACTGACTGAGGGAAGCAAGCCAGCTCAGCAACGTGGATCCCAAAACTCTGGTCACAAACACCTGGGGAAGCAGTTCAGGTGTGGGTTGAAAAATTGCAGGGTTGTTCCCTTTTTTTTTTTTTTAAACTGATTAAAAACATTTTCAAAGCAGTGCACCCTTGAAAGAATGCATTTTCTTTTCTTTGTAGAGTTTTATCTTAATTACTGCTAGGAAAAAGCTATTTTTCAGCAAATGACATGTTTTAGAATCTGTGTTCCACTAGTCAAAGATATGATTACCAAATCCGTGCAGTTATTTATGTAATCGATTGTTTCAGCCCTAGTTTTGATACACATTTACCCAGAAAAGAGAAGCATGGTTGTAAACAGAACGATATCCTACAGATCTTTGTTCCCCTATCAGTGACAATGACTGAGCATAGAGAGTGCCGTTAAGCGGGTGTTTTTTTTAATTACCGTATTTTCACGACTATAAGGCGCATATAAACGTCTTTTTTTTCCCCCTCAAAATGTGCAGCGCGCTCTATAGTGCGGTGCGCCCTATGTGTGTTGTTACTGCGGACGTTGTTGAGACCACCATGACAACGTTAAAGGGGGAAGTGTGGGAGTGGATTGTGTATAATAGAACAGGTATGTGCTTTATGCAGAACTTCTCATCTCCTCATTGAGAAGAGTTGCTGAGGGAGGTGTATGTAGGGAGACCAGGTGGATTTTATCACGCATCACCATCGCTGTTAATCTGTGACTCCATGCGTGCCCATCTCACAACCGATGTGAAAAACATGGTGAGACAAATGAACGCTGTGCTTACAGTTATTCTGGGAGGTCTGACAAAGGAACTTCAACCGCTCGACATCGGTGTGAACCGGCCGTTCAAAGTAATTCTACGTTCACGCGTCTGCTGCTTCATTTTTGCTGCTTGTACCAGTTAGTTCTGACGCGCGGCTGAAGCAGCTTTGCTGCTCTGGCTGCGCGGTGCAAAAGTGTGTCTGACGCGCGTTGGGCGGAGCTACTCTATCCTTTCTTTGCCTTGCAGCTATATTTGCTGTGATCAGTGGGAATAAAGTAGTTTTAATATGTTTTTAAGTGAGAAAGTCCACCTGAAAACTTAATCATTGCAGTCATTTCATCCAGATTACAATTCCACCTTCCAATATTATTTCTGTCGGAGCCGCTCAGACCCCCACATACCAGCGGTGCGCTGTCAGTAGGAATCCCATTCAACAGCAGCGTCTGGCCGGGTCGCCTCCTCGCGGTTCACCGCGACAGCTGGTAGGTGTTTTTTATCTAAATCTAAACTGCAGGCACCAGGATAATAAAAGCGAACATATTCTGCCGGCAGATTTCTGCATTTTAAGTTCATTTATGCGTCAATAAACTGTTTAAGAGGAGTGATCCCAGCGCTCTGTGTCATCAGCGATGTGTCTGTCTCACATCATACACACTCCGCTTTGTTTTAAAAAAATATAAATATAAAAAATATAACCACGGATTTTTGGGGGACCGTGATTTGCCTACATGTAATGAATGCTGGCGTACCATAAATGATAAATTATGAACAGTTTAGTTTGTGCCTTCAACTCGTTGCCCATAGGAAGACGTTACTTGGATATAACAAACCGAATATCTTCAGAACAGCTCCAAATGACACAAAACTAATATGGGTGAGTAGAACATGATGTAATAATGTAAAATCAAGGACCCAATGGAAAAAAAAAAAAAACGGTGTTCCCTTTTAGGGAATTAAATGCAATATTATCAGTCTAACAGTTGAAGCAGAGTCTTAATATTTCCAAATAAATCAGTGAATCTTTAACAGAACCTCCCAAAATGAAAACGGTCAAAGCTTGATATAAATGCGACCCTACACCACACACATTTCAGGAGACTGAAAACTAGAAATAAACTGATTCAGAAATCTACAAAATCATGGTATTTACTTTGTTTCTCACAAGTTCATTGATGGTCATGTGAACCTTCTTTTCCCTGTGACTGAACAAGATAAACACCATGAAATCTATTGCTGATGTTTACTGCAGTCAATAGGTGCAGAAAACTGCTAATCTGTTCATGTACTGAGATAATTGCTTGAGAAAGGAACTTGCCAATTATCAGCTTTACCGGCTCAAAGATAAAAAATGTTTGCGGGACACTGAATGCACCATAGCCATGCAGTTAAAGGGTGTATTGTTTTGGGCAGATAATGGCTTCACAGGAAAGTGGCTAATTTGCATTAGCGACAGCAAGTTTCGACCGATGAGGTTTTAACTCAGCAGAGAACAGAGAAGGGGATCATTCTGAAATATGTCTGAATTTACAAATAAAGCACAACAGCTGTACGTCGCTCCTTAAAAATAAACACGTTTCTAGCAGGTATGTCAGCCGCCACCTTCACTGTCAGCAACAGGCGCATGGTTTCATTTAAAATTCAAGCTACCATTAAAAGATGATAAGTCATCTAGAGTACTAACAAGGGAAAATTCTAAAGTTTATTTTATATTGGCAATTAATTATATATTTTTTTTAAATGTTATGGCCACCTAATTGAATGGTTTGTTCGGATATTATGTGACGGCTACAAAACTAGAGTAATGTTGTGAACAAGACTAAACTTGTATCTCTGGCTGTATGTTTAGGTTTGTCCTGCCAGAAGGTGGCGTTCTGCCTTCCCTGTTCTGCAAACCTGTCTATTAATTAAAGCAGATTATGAACTTGTCCTATCCTGACCTGGTTTGACTCTGTAGAGCATTGTTAGCGTGTTGTGGGACGTCAGGGCGGTGACGTGCAGATTGTGGACGGTCGGCTGCTGCGCTGCCAGGGCCGTCAGCTCGTGGAAGTGCGTTGCGAAGAGGCAGAAGCAGCCGATTTTGGAGGCGATGTGTTCACTGATGGCCCAGGCCAGCCCAAAGCCGTCGTACGTAGAGGTTCCACGGCCGAGCTCGTCGATAATGATGAGGGAGTTTTCCGTGGCAGACCTGCAGTGACGAGGAGGTTAACTACAGATAGTCGCGTTTCTATTTTGATGGTTCTGAGAGGTGACTATTCTCACCGCAGGATGGCAGCAGTTTCCAACATCTCAGACATGAAGGTGGACACTCCCTTCACCTGGCTGTCTCCTGCTCCCACTCTGGCCAGGACGCTGTCAATCACACTGAGCTCCGCCTTCTCACATGGCACAAAGCAGCCGATCTGAGCCATCAGTGCGATCAAACCCACCTGCCGGATAAAGGTAGACTTTCCACCCATATTTGGCCCTAAAAACACCAAGAAGAAAAGCACATCTAAATTCACCATATAAAGAAACTTACAATAACACGTGCTTGAAAAAAAAAAAAAAAAAGCATGAAGATGTTCGATCTTTCACTTTTTGCTCATTCATTCAAGCATTGTTAGTAAAGAACAAAACAAAAAAAAATTTAAAGAACTGTGATGAGTTAACTAAGGTTTTCTTAACATTGTAAATTTTATAAAAGCTTGCCTGTTGAAAAAGAGAATTTGCGGCGCTCAGGTGGACAAGTACTTCTATTCTATAATTACTCCACTTTAGGTGGAAGCACATTGACAGCTCTGCCGGTACTGATTCTTTTTGGACATTTGTTATGATGCAAACCACAGCAACCATAAAAAGTTGCTGCTGAGCTATAAAGAAGGTGCCAAGGATGAAGAGCAGGAGGAAGGATAAGAAAGAGGAGCAGGGAATTCCAGCCACCTATTCCATCAATAATTACAGGCAATTAGATATTATTAGGAAACTGGTTACAAGAATACAAAGCCTAGCTATAACCCCGCCAGAACATCGGCAATGCCGGATTAAGTGATGCAGGGATCCTTGGCTGCAGAATCACTTTCCTGACTCAAGTGTGTCTTTGCCAAGCTTTCTGACCATACAGGCAGACAGAAATTTAAAAAAGGCTGGTGAAGGCATTGCTTGTGTATAACGAATGGCATTATCGAGAGCATTTTACTGTGAATATTTTTCTCAAATGTTGATCTGTCAGCAAATGGTTTCTCACCATATAATTTGTTCAAAGAATGTACCTGTTCTTTTTGGCAACAGTTTAGATTCCTCCTTCTGCTGTCACCAACACTGCATCTGATGCCATGAGTTTCATTGTTGCTAAGCTAAGGAAACAACAGCCAAATGAAGTTATGGAAATAACTGGGACCGTTTCTCAGTTTATAAGAACACGAGTACGGACTTGTGTTCTCGCCAAGTATGTTTTTGACAAGAACATAAGAAAGTATGGACTTTGGGAGAACGGGAGCAGGCAGCATAAATCTGGGTCAATTGGAACAGAAGCGTACTCGTGACATCACCACATGCTCGGCTCGTCTGGAGCTGCATTTCACCTCCTGTTAATAATAGTCTTTAGATAATAAATTCTTACTTTTTTCCATTTAGTGGGGGAATAATGATTAACATTCAGATATACAAAGAAAAAATGAACGTTTTGATAAATAAAACAAAGGCAAAAAAAACGCCAGCGGTACTTCACACAGGGCTATGCTGATAGAGGGTTGTGGTGAGCCCTGGCTGCAGTCAGACTCAGAGGTTCGCTGGTTGCCACGGTCCTCTCAACATCGAAACTTTTTTTTAAATTACACACTAAATCAGTAAATGGGACATATAGTGACACTTAAAAGTATAATGTTCTAGCCTCAAATGATCTTAAAACGTACTTTTATAGAAAAACAGAAACAGAAGTACAAATATTGAGAAACGGCCTGTTTTCTTCATCCCGCTTCACTGTCATCATTCTAACAGTTTGTCAATTGTTGTAACATAGAATACACAACTTTAAACTTCTTAAATGCAAATGACCAGGACTCTTACATCCTAGACCTCCACTTGAGCATTCAGATATCCATCTTGTTTTTCTCAGAAGAAGCCTGCATTAAAGAGAGCTATAAGAAGATGTTTATAGGAAGCTGAAGAAGCCCTGCAAGGTTGTTTTGAGGCTGCAGACTGGGACGCACCGCGTCAGCCACATGGAGAAGACATCAATGCAATGACTGACTACTACAATGTGACGGACTACATAAACATCTGTCTATCTCTACCAGAACAGTGAAATTCTTCCAAAATAGCCTTCAGGAAGGGAGATGGGGAATCACTGAGAAGTGTACAGAAGCAACTTAAGGTCAAGATAAGAGAAAGCAAGGAGGCATAGAGGAAGAAGCTGGAAAACGAGCTCCAGCAGAGCAATATCAGAGATGTGTGGTCAGGGATGAAGAAGATCACAGGCTTCAAGCAGAGGGATGATCAGAGATGGAAATCTGGACAGAGCCAATGAACTGAATACATTCTTTAATAGGTTCAGTTCAGGAAGAGGCTCAGCATTCCTCTGTACTGCACACAGTCACATGTTCATCCAGCTCTCCTTTGACCTAAAGCCTACATCTCACATTTTAAAGGTTTAATCAAAACATTCTGCCATGGACCCTCCAGCTTCTATGCGTTTGTTCTCAGCAAAATCTAAAAATGGTACTGCTCCTTCCGCCTTTCAGTTCCTTGTATCTAGACGTCAAGTCAAGAGGCAACTAGAGAGATTGAATCGCAATAAGTCTCCAGGTCCATATGGCATCAGCCCCAAAATCCTGAAGGCTTGGGCAGGGCAGCCCAGTGGGATTCTACAGAACCTCTTCAATCTTAGCCGGATCCTCCTGCCTTGTTTCAGCATCAAATAAAACTCAGTCAATAGCCGTCGATTACTTTAGATCCCACATCATGAAGGTCATAGAGACACTTCCGTTAGTAAGTAAGCAAACAAACAAGCTGTTACCAGGACCTTCTATAGTTTGCTTAACACATTGGAGTTGGGAGTTGAAGATGCCATGGTACACCTGCTTCAACAAACTTACTGTCATTTACAAAAGACAGGATGAACCGTCTTAAATGCACTGGAGAAATCAAAGAACATGATCCTAATAGCGCTGTCTGACTTACTTTGTGAGAAACATCAGAAAACTCAGATGGAGGCATCGACAATCACTTGGATCAAAGACTACCTGACAAACAAACCACAGCTTGTTAGACTGATGGGTTAGCTGTCTAATCAAAAAGACAGCAGCACCACAGGGGACAGTACTCTCACCATTGCTTTTTACTCTGGTCATCTAAGACTTCCAGTCCTTTGCAGAAATACTCTGATGACTCTGCAATAATTGGATGTATCAAAGATGGTCAAGAATTTGAGTAGAGCTGGTGAACAACTTTATGGCATGGTGTGGAAACAATCATCTGATCACAAACAGGCTTAAATTGGAAGGCAACCAGACTTTTGCTACATTATTTGAAGACGTTTCAGCACATATCCAGGAGTCTTTGTCAGTTCTGTCGGCTCGCACCAGAGCAATCTCTAATTGGAGCGCTGATGTATTTAAGCCGCGTGGAGGTCCTTCCTCCTGAATAAATCCCAGGTCAGATCCAAATTAAATAACCTGAGGTGGTGAATGAGTGTAAACACCTTTGTATTCACCTGGACAACAAACTTGACTGAAGATGCAACTGCTAAACCATCCATAAGAAGGGACGGCTAACAAACTGTACCACTTCAGGAAGGTTTGGTCCTTCAGTGTTTTCAGTAAAATGTGCCATATCTCCTATAGTTCTGTTGTGGAGAGTGCATCTCTCCTGCCGTCAACTCCTGGGGTAACAGTAGAGCCCAGGACCTTAGCCAGTGACAAAGGCTGTAACCACAGATTGCAGGCTACATCGAAATACTGAAATTGTGTTCAAATGTCATGTTGCCATTTTGAAAAAAATCATATCGCTATATAAACAGATGTTTGTACCTGCCCTTGGTCACGCTCTACTTTAAAGAAGAGTTTCCTTCTAAATTTAAAATTCCTGTCCTCAATCTTTGCCCCAATATCTCTGGAACATTTCTCATGAAAATCTATTTTATGAATTGTCCCTTTAACAGCACAACATTCCTACAACCACCTCCGTACTCAACAGCTGAGTTTGTCAAACCTAAAAGGTTTTTTGCTTTCCTCTGTAATGAATAAGAAAATTTTCCACTTAAAACACGGGATAGAGAGCAATAACGATTGCTGAACATCACTACTGATGTTCAGCAAACAAACAAGATATATTCAGACATCTGGCAAAACGAATGCAAGGATGATCCACAGTTGATATTTCTCCTTAAAACGCATCCATAGGTGGTGCTTTATTTAACTCATGTTTAGAAATAACATACTTGAAGCTTACAAAGCCATGACACATCATCTGGACCTTCTCAAACTGTTAAAAGACAAAAACAACATTAGTTGTTGTCATAGAAACTAAATATTTCTGGCATTTCGCTAATAGAAATCAATTCAGTAATCAAGGTTGACCTGAAAAGCAAAATGCATGAGATAAAAAAAAAATCTGTCATCACCTTCAGCCTCTCCCACCTGTTATAATATAAAAGCTCTTCTCCCCCTGAACGAATATGATGTCATTGGGTATGAAAGCGGTATCTGCATCTGTCTCCATGCAAGGATGTCTGGCCTGCAGCAGCTCCAGGCGCCTGCAGCCGTCATCCAGGAGTCGGGGCCGCACGTACGGCACCGGAGCAGACACCGAGGCCACGGCAAAGCTCACCACGGCGTCCAGCTGTGCGATGACGTCACTCAACGTTTGAAGAGGATCCACGTAACCTGTTGGCACATGAGCAACAGAAACCCTGAACAAATGGTCACAGATGAAAGACTTGAATCATGTGCAGCCTCCAAAACTAGATCCGCATGATAAAAAAAAAAAAAAAAAGGAAAAAAAGCCAGCAGACAGAAACCTCGCCCACAGGAATGGTAAGGACTTAAAAAGCACTGTAGAGTTTGGTGACCTTAGGATGAAATGTGAAGGAAATCAATTACTGAACAGCACCTCGGGCAATTAACGAGCATTCATCGTTTCCACGTAGCCAAGACACCATCGATTTTTCTCCTGGTTAAATTAATACCATGTCGCCTTAACACCACGTGAAGCATTAGATTAGAATCCCCACCTGAGGCGATGTTGATGATCTCTTTGACAATGGCGTTCTGGGCCTCCTCGTACTCCTCTCTGCTCCTGGTGTATTCCTCATTCAGAGAGCTTAGCTTGCTGCAGACACGTGATGGGAGAAATTTCTGGGGTTACCGTCTCATCTGATGGCTGGTGGGGGGTTGGGGGTAGGGGCAGACATGGACCTGTTTGTGAAGCGAACTCCATTTTTCTGAACATCCAGGGTGGTGAACTTCTTGTTGTTCCTTAGACTCTTCTCTTCCTTGCAAGTGACTCTCAGGTAGAAGCCATGCACAGCGTTAGACTCCAGCTTCACGGTCTTTCCAGCTTCCAGGCCTGAAACATAAGAATCACCCCTGACATCATTCTGAAGGCCCTACATCTCTCCTAGGTCAAATTCTAGTACCAACATCAATTCAAAGTATAACACTAACAAACACTATAATGAGGCAGACAGTTCATAAAATGGATCAACCGATGAAGAAACTGATGGGGAACCCCCCCCCAAAACATGACAGGAAATGGCTAGAAAAAGAAAAAATGGAAATGGATCTTCAGGAAGAACCGGCCTAAAAACGATCCACTGTTCATCAAAATCTCAGCTGTAGAGGTGGTCAACAGCACTGAATTCCTGGGGGTGCACATCACAGACACCCTCACCTGGAATGTAAACACCATCTAGGGAAAAAAGTCGGCAGACCCTGCCGCTGTAAACAATGCAGAGCTGCAACAATTAGCTTGCAAATAGATTAATCTGTCAATTATTTTTATGAGTTAATAACCGGACAGCGTAAGGTTTCTTAAAGAAGACTTTTTACTAAATCAAACCAGGTGAAACTAAAACTTTTCCACCTGAGAAGTTCTGAATATAACATATTGAATGATAGAAAAGATTTTTTTATTTTTTCTTTCCTAAATGCAAAATGTTCATATATTTTTGTTTTATACAACAATGGTTTAATTGCTGCTCTAAGTTAGTTGCTCTGTCAGCTTAAATCATGTTTTACAGTCTCTATACTCCAGTTAATGATTGATTACTTAGTTGACAGTTATTTCAATAATCGATTAGTCACCATTAATCCAATTAATTGTTCCAGTCCTTAAACAATGCAAATATGACATGCGATGTGTGAAGCTAGTGGTACAACACAGTCAGCTAGTCTATCAGTTGTGACGAACTGGTGTGAGTCTGAACTATGGAAGCCAGATTTTCCAATACTGTAGAATTTGATTAGTCAATAAAATTGATTTATAATCCAGCCCTAAACGGATGGAAACTTTTTTCCATAATGCAAGGAAACCCAGAAAAGGGCCACACAAAAGAAGATTCAAGTTTTCAGTGTTAAATATGGTTCATAACCTAATGAAATATGTAGTGTACTTAGTTTTTCCACACCATGTCCCTGCTGTTTGGCTCATAGAATACTCCTTTGAAAAAAAAAGAGGAGTTCAAACTACACAGGAAAGATTAATTAATACATTTCTTGCTTATTTGCTCTTAAATTCCCCCATGAGTCAAATGGTACGACCATCCCTATTGGACAAGCCTTTCTGCACCATTTTTAACTTGCATCCCTAAAATATATAATATGATGAGAAAAATTTTTACATTTGCAAACTTACACAGCAGTGTGAATAAAAAGATCAGCTCCAAAGAGCTTTTTTCCTAATCTCTGACTGAGGAAGTTGGAAGACCAATTTAGAGCTTTAATACATGACGGCACATGAGGACCATGTGGGGAAATTGATTTGCAAAGGCTTTTTGTCACAGGCAACCTAAGAGAGCCCCCTTCAGACGACCTCTTTAAACACACACCCTATAAATTTGACACTTTGCTTTAATGTGAGAATTTATATGTTTTGTGATCACCTAATTCTCTGGCTGCTCCGCTTAGTACAGCCTGCATGCTTTTCTCCAGTGCGTCCATCTTCTCTCTGAGCTCGCTCAGGACAGGATCAAATGAGGCTTTAACCAGGAACTCGTGGTGCTCAATCTATATGTATTGGGGAGAAAAAAAAAAAATTTTATAATTAAATATAACAGAAAGCAGATCTGTTTTTTTTCCCTCTCCAAAGAACCAGACCTGATTCATGTCCAGAGTGGTTTCAATCATCTCCTGGTACTTGATAAAATCTGTCTGCAGGTCTGCGAGAGGCGAGGCGAACACGGCGAGGAGAAGCACCTTGTAGCTGCCTGCAAACACAAAATAATGAACCTCGCTCAGGTTTGATGGTCCTATATCTGCCGCTTTTCCGAAAAACCAGCGCATACCTGAGTATCTCTCCAAGGCTGAGACGAGAGCAGGAATGTGACTCACAGCCTGGTAGACGCGATAGCAGTCCTGCAGTGTGGCTGTGTGGCGGTGAAACTTTTTGGCCAGGCGGTGAAGGTCTGGGAACCGTCGCAGAAGATCCTCCTGACAAGTCTGCCTCAGCTCTGAGTCGCACACAAAACTCTCCACGAGGTCTAGTCTAATAACATAAAAAGTATACTAAAAAAGAGAAGCAATATTACCCCGGTAGGTGACAAACAGTTCTAGGATCAATTATTAGTGAGGAACTGCTGTCTCCAAGACTTTTAAGGATTTAAATCCTTTATTAGTCATTTCTAATCATAAACAAAATCTTACATCCCTAATTAATTAATCGATTTGGGCATTTTAACTTAATGTAATTCACCAACAAGCTTCTCAATCCAGTAATTAGATGCTCATCTTTACGATCATTAAATAAAAATCCAACATCAGGGTTTGATGTGAGGTTAAGATTGGAAAGCTGCGGCTTTTTGTACCTTTCCTCTATCTTAGCTTTGTCCATAAGTGGCTGTTTGATCCACTGGTTGACCAGCCGCTGACCCTGAGGCGTACGACACTTGTTCAACAAACCAGCCAATGAATGCGCTCCACTGGTGTCGTCAGGCGAACCCTGAAGAGAACCATTTCAACACATGGAAAATATGTATCTTTTTGATTGAAAATAAATAAATAGTAGGCATTATTGCTGCTAAACATTTCAGTGTGAATATTTTATAAATAATTTAGTAACAGTCTGAGGTCTGCAGACCACAGACATAACTTTTTGAAAAACCTCAATATATTTTGAGACCAGTTACCAAGCCTTACCTCCTAACTAAAGTACATTTGTGGCTTAAGTCGATTAATTAAGAAAAATCCTTCTTTACACTGGCTTTAAATTCTGTATTCCCTCCCACTGCCTTAATAAATGAAAAACTTTTTCTCATCCCTCTGTAGGTTGTGTTGTTTCTCTAAAGCGTTAACTTACTATAAGTAAACTTGGTTATTGCTAATTCATTTTCTTCCTGAAAGACTTTTTTTTGGAAATAACTTATGATTCATAACTTTTAAATCATTTCTTAACTTGTACTCTACCCCAGTTTTTATCTTAAAGAGCTGGTGAATCATACCCTTAAAAATATTCCTAGGCTGTTCAACTTAACACAAAAAAAGCCCAAAGATTTCCCATCTCTATCAAATCCCTCAACTTTGGTTATGATCACCTACCTGGAAAAGGTTGAGAGCCCTGACGGCGGCGTTGTCCAGCCGCATGTACTGACCCAGCTCCAGCGTGGTGAGGCTGAAGGAGTTAAAGTTGGACTCATCAGAGAGGAGCTCGAGGAATCGCACCACCGCAGCCAAGCAAGACATGGCAACCTGTGAACAAAAACACAACCATTTTTCTCATGCAGAAAAACATAAGAAAAAAAATGTATTGACTTTATTTGGGGGGTGAGCAGTGCGCTTGTGCACTGAGAAGGTTCGATCACTGCGGTCTGCACTCTGCGCCCCCCACAATGGCAGCCGACTGCTCCCAAAGGGGATGAGTTAAATGCAAAGGTAAATTTCTCCAGTGTGAGATCAATAAAGTTCAATTATTATCATTATTAATCTCACAGTGGAGAAATTTACTTTTACATCAGCTCAATAGTCAAAAAGAAGGTTCCAAAAGGACTAAAATCTGCATAGGGGTATACACAGTGCGTCCACACACACACATGTGTTATTGCACATCAGTTATTGCAGTTATGATGCAGCATTTATACAGTCTGATGCCAGCAGGGATGAATAACCTGCGGTAGCACTCCTTTTAGCAAACAGGGCATTTAAGTCCTTTCACTAAAGGAGCTGCTCAGCTCCTCTACACTCTGGGGCACAGGGTGAAAGGTATTAACATATCAAATTTAATGTTTCACTTTTTTTTTTTATTCCGGCAAATATCCCAGATCCTTTAAATCATTGATGACTGTGGAGGAAGGAGTCTCTTAAATGAATATAAAATATCCAGAAATGCATGTTAAGCTTCTCCATTTAATAAAGTTTAAGGTAAGAATTATTGCAGCTGTAGGCAGATATCAAGTTTTATCCGTATCCTTTTGTTTAAATATTGCTACCTACATCTTCTGAAAGGTAAGTGCTCACATTCATACGCCGTCACGCTGATCGGTAGGCAACTTGGGATTAAATGCCTTGGCCAGGAGCACATGGACATGTGATGGGGCAAGCTGGAATCCAAAAACCTTCTGATTCCAAAGCAACTAATCTAACCACTGAGGCAGTCACCCTTTTAAGAGCAGAACATTTATCAAGATAAATTTTCAGAGATGATCCAAGTTCAAACAAGACTACCGGTATTTAAATACATTTTAGTGCAGTTATTACACTGGAGTTCATATACAGAACCATCAACAGGAAGAGAACTGGTCCTGCGTTCTGTTTCCTATCTTTTAACAGTAGTTTAGATTGAAAGCAACTAATTTAGTGACCTTTGGATGATATAGTGCTAAAAGTGCCTCGGAGTCTTAGAGAGAGCAGTGATCACAAGCCACCATTACAAAACCAGTGGAGGGGGGTTAGGACACACTGACTGGAGCCATTACACAGTTTTCAAAAATTCTGGTGGAGCTAACAGCAAAAGCCTCAGGTGAAAAACGAGTACTGTGACCAAAGAATGTGGAAATTAATTCCCAGCATAAATGAGTCAAAAAGAAATGGGCATGGGTTGGAGTCCTGGAGGAAACATCAGAGGCTCACATACTAAGCCTAAGTGGCTCTCACCTCTCAGCCAGGTGCCTCCAATCCACCTGTTTCTATGTCAGGACCAAGATCATGGTCTTTCAAGCACATTTCAGTGAAGGAAAAACTGCATCTGTTTTTTACCTTCTGAATATAATTCAAGCTATTAAACAGATAAAATGGGTCTCTCTTAAAGAAGGAATTGCATCTTAATGAGACTGCCTGTATACATAAAAGTTAGGGGAAAAAAAAGCCGGTGGGCTTCAAAACTACAGGTTAAAAAGTCACAGAGCTCCTGTGAATTTTCCATTTCTGAATCTGCTGTACTCAAGTTTTCATATATCTCCACCAGTTTATGTTGTTTTTAAATATGTGTTTAAAGTGTTTTGTTGCATGTTAAACACTGTTTTGGACAGTTTTCCATATAATATACATATACATACACGATAGAGAAAAAAAGCTATAAGAACTTTAACATATTGATCGATACTTAATCTGTAACATGAAAACACCCCAAAATGTCAAAGACAGATTTCTTTAAATGAAATGATCAACAGAATAATGTATTTACAGCTCATTCGATGTTAATACCAAGTGATCAAAGAGACCATCTCACTGATGGGTGAATCAATATTAGTTTTCTGATTTGGTTACCTGCTTGTCCAGTTCGGGCAGCGTGTTGCTCGCCACAGTATCTCCCCTCTTAGATCTCAGCAGCCTGTTAAGGTCCTGGACGATATCCTTGCTGTTAAACTCAGCTCTCTTTCTGTCGGAGACCAGCACACCGCCACGTTGGACCACCTGCAGCAAAACCACTAAGCATTACCACTGAGCTTAGCATTAGGTGAGACAAGGTTTACTTATATAGGTAGAGAATTTTCTCTGGTTCAGCATGGAAAAACCAAAACATTGTTTTTATGTGTAAGATCTCTTATCAAGAAGTGAGCAGAATGACATCGAATGATAGAAGAAAGCAAATTCTTTGGGATTTTTGATGAATTCCCAAAAACAAACATTAAGCTGCCTTGCTAAACCTTTACAAGCTGCAGATGTTTGAATGAACACTTACCTCCCGCAGCTTGTTCACATCGCTGCTGCATTCACCCTGAGCCAGGAGACACTCTTTGGGACTGATCTGGACAAGCAGGGACTCCAGGTTGGAGAAGATCTCATTGTCTGGAAACTCGCACACCCCCATGGTCCTCTGAGCCGCGTCAACATAGCCGACGCCGACCACTCGCTGGCCATCGGCTCCCGTCGCGAAGCGCACGGCAACCACTCCCGCGCAGCCCTCCCCCCCGGTTCCACCACCGAACAGAATATCCTCGAACTGGGTCAGGTTTCCAGGAGAGGCCTGTGTGAAGAAAAAGGCACAAAAATAAACTGCTGGACATGCGGTCTCTCTTTTTTTTTTTTTTTGGTGCCATGTCATTTTTTAATAACAAAGCACCATATTTATTTAATTTTGTAAAATTTAGAAATAAATCATATTAAACAATTTATATATTTAGAAACAGTTTGTGTGATTTATTTATGACACACTGGAGTTAGGGACATTGAATCCAGTTCTGTACATCAAAGTATCCACCTGCTCCACTGTTCTACCAACTCACGTCTAACTAAATTTGACTATATCTTTTATAACAGTTTTATAATCTAACAATGAAAATTTAGGACTGCATTGAAAATTTGATCGTATTTGTTTTAATAGTTCCATATTATATCCTCAAAACTATGGATCACTTCATGGCAAAATAATCAGCATTACTAAGTAAAGCTTTATATAAGGGGACTCATTTGTTATTATTATAGTTTCCAAAAAGATTCATATAATTTTACTATAACTTTTTTGTTATTTATATCTCTAAAACATTTTACAGGTTAAAAATGCAAAAATAATGAATGCATAAAGGCTAAAATGAATAAGGAATAAACATTAAATTCATTTTTTGTACCTTGTACTCGATCCTCCAGTCATGCTCCTTGCTGCTCTTGCTGTGATTCCTGTAGACCTCTACTCTGTACTGCCTCACCAACAACAGGTCCTTCACAAAGGCCTCAAAGTTCAGCTTGCTCAGGATCACGCTCTCCAGCTTGCGAGTCCCTGTTGACCGACAAAAAAGAAGGATGAGGTTAATAAATAAATTCCCCTTTTCCTGACCCCTAGATTCAATTCGTTTCAATAAATAGTCACAGAAATATGAAATACCTGGTCACCATAACACTATGGCAGGCTGTACATGGCACATTATTCAAATGCGGAGCCAAAAAAAAAAAAAAAAAGAGGTTTTAAAAATATTTATTTAACTTTAAATTTTTTAGATTTTCAAAAGTAATATCGTGTTTTATTGGCTGGTTGCCATAATGTTCAGATTTGTTAATAAATTTTCACAATGTACGAGTGTGTACACTTTGGGAAGTGGCGGCCTAGTGGTTAGGGCATAGAGCTTGGAAACCCTGGGTTGTGAGTTTTAAACCCACTCCCACAGACAGCCACTCTGAGTCTCTGAGCAAGACCCTTAACCCCCAATTGCTACCTGTGCACCCCACAATGGCAACCCACTGCTCCTAAAGGGGATGGGTTAAATGCAGGTAAAAAATTTCTCCAATGTGAGATCAATAAAGTTAAACTTTTATTATTAGAGCTGAAATAATTTATCTGATTTATTGTGATTAATGGATAACTTTGCTGACAGAGCAACACACTAAGAGCAATAATTATACAAAAAAAAAATATATATATATATATATATACACACACACACACACATATATATTGCATTTTAGATTAAATATAAATAAAAAATAATATGTCAATATGCTCTATCCAGAATCCCTCAAGATGACAAGTATAAGCTTCTCCTGGTTTAATTTCTAAACAATTCTTTTTTAAAGGAACCTTTAGTTTATTGCTGCATTAGAATAAAAGTTTTAATCTTTTAGAACTGACAGACCTAAAATTATAGTGTAAGGGTTCGGTTTAAATCTGGTTTATATAATTTTGGCTTAAAGTTAAGCACACACACTGGTAGGTGGGTGTCAGGGTTAGGCACACATGCAGTAACCAACACTAATGCCAGTCGATGTAAAGTCTTAAGATGGAAATACATTCTTCTTAGTGTGTAAGCCATATAATGAGACAGTCAGTTATTCTAAAAGATGCACATGTGCAGGACAATTTGGAGCTAACCCAACCTGCTCCAGATGCTAAAGTATTAGCCCCCTGTAGCTCTATTCTACTGCAATATAATCTAATGAACTAGCTAATCCATTAGTGTTTCCCTCAAACCTTTTAATGCACTTGGTGCTGAGAAGATAAGTTATTCGTGGTTACCTGAACCCAGATATTTGATGACTCCGTTAGTCTTAAAAACCTCCTTGGCCGCAAATATGGCGTCCTTTCCGTGGACGGTGTAGTAGTCGTTTCGGTCGAATATCCTGAAAGTTGTGTCAGGTTTCTCCTTCATGGAAAAAATGAAATTCAGAAAGCCGGTTTCGGCCGCGCTGTCCAGAGACAGGTTCTGGTTTTGCTTCGGTTGCACCGCCATGCTGCAATCTCCCGCCACAGAAGGAGCCAAAACAGGAAGCAGTCACTGGGTAAGGCGCGCTACCATGGAAACGGTTCCGCTCTTCTTTAAAGGAGAGTCAGCTCGCTCTGCTGCCCCCTACAGACCCCCCCACCAGTTTCAGGCTCCAAACATTTACAGGCCTTTTCCAATCTAACATATTTTTTCCCTTTTGACTTTTAATCCTCACATTGGTCAAAAACTATTATTACAAACCGGAAGTGTTGTCAGAAAATCAAAACCTATTATAAAAACATTATCATAAAAATACAGAATATCCTTCCTACCTACAGCTATCAACACTTACAACAACTGGTGAGAAAAATACATGAGTCACTGTAACATTTGATTTCCATTTGGATTTAATAAAGTACTTTTGAACTGAATTAAATTTGCTAGAAAAACATCTGTCAGATCAATTATGTTAGAAACATCCCCTTAATTACATATTAAAACCTCAAAGTATTTCTAAATAATAAAAATGCATTGACCCAATAAAGTTAAGTTAAAATAAAACAGGGGATTCCAAATACTAAAACTATAGAAATATGGTTCTGGTGGCAAACATCTGCCTTTAGCTCCACTGGCTTCTTCATACAATTTTACAATCATAATTTAATGCAATTACAAATTCATTGATTCTTTGGATTCGGTTCTAATACCTTTGTACATCTTTGAAAAAGACATATCTATTTATTCTCTTTGTAAAACAAATACCTCAAGTTCATCCAGATTTGATGAAGGTTGTATTTGTCAGTTTACACACAGTGACCTGCACACAAAATCAGTGGAAAGCGTCAACTAGTTTGAGCTTTTATTGCAGTAGAAATAACAGAAAAATCCACCCTTTAATTTTTTTTTTTATATATATACTCTAATAATCCCAGAGGGAAATTACTTCTCTACATTTAACCCATCCCCTTGGGGAGCAGTGGGCTGCCATTATGAGGCGCCCGGGGAGCAGTGTGAGCACTATGCCCTAACCACTAGGCTGCCACTCCCCCCATTTATGTACATGTATGAAGTGAGTGTGTGTGGGGGGGGGATTGGGTATCTATTGTTTTACACCAAAATCCCCAATGCAGCCTTATTGGTACCTCTGTAACAATGCAATTCTTTTGAGTCCATTAAATGATTCTTTATATTTGATAATATTTTTATTTTGTATTTCATTTATTTATTTATTTATTTATTTATTTTTTTTTTACCCTAACCACAAAGTTGAAAATTGAAAGCTTTCCATACAAACAGAACTTTCTGAAACAAAGACTGAATACCTACGGAGTAAAACATTTGAACTGCATAGCAAGTGCTGTGAATATCATAAAACTGAAATGTTAAAAATGAAAATGAGTTTATTTTTTTATATTGGTTGTCTGGATTCCTTGTTGCATGTTTATATTGTTGTTTATTGTTTCCCAAATATCCTGTGTTATTTATTGAAAAAAAATTCAGTATAAGTTTTACTTTTTGTTTCTTGTGTCATTCACATCATTCAGCCTCTATGCCAAACTAGTCATTAACTCATATTGCATTGATGGTCCTAATAAAATACATTTTACAAGTGGCGAGCCAGCCAGGAGAATAATTTGGTGAACGCATGAAATATTGATTAGCATATTTTGGTGTGATTTGTGGTCCTACAAAATGACTCTGTTGTAAACTATGGGATTGATGTTGCAATTACTGCTGTTGTATCTGGTGTGACCCACATAAGAAAGATGAAGAACTAATTGATTGTTTGAAAAACATATGGTTCTATAAAACAATTTCTAATAATTGATGATTTGAAAAGTTTATTTCACAAAAACCAGATCCTTGAGTTTACAAGTAATGGAGTAATAACCACTCTAAATCTGCTCTTGCTACATATAAACCAATCCAAAAGTCAACCTGACTTAGTTTTGTGTGAAATCACTTGCCATAGATCCTGCAGCCACAGCAAGAACCCAGAACGCTGCAGATTACATCAGGATGCTGAAGCATCTTTCTTAACATAGTAGAGGAAAATTTAAAGATATTTTGAAAGATATGATGAGAGAAAAAGGCAAATATTTGGAAATTATGGCTTTTTATGAGAAGAAAGACCCAAAGCATCACAACTTCTCCCACATCCTTAGTATATTTTCTTTTGCATTTCATAGAGTAATTAAGTGATCAGGGCTTCTGTGTCATTTATAACCTATGGAAACAAAATGTCATGGTTTGTTAAATAAAAGTTCCTAGTTACTGTAAAATTAAGTGAAATTCATTTCATAGGAGTTTTCAGTCGGGCTGATAATTATAGCAACTTTGATTTTATTTGCAATCAATTATTTTATACTATGGAACTATTAAAACAAATATGATCAAAATTTCAATGCAGTCATACATTTTCAGTGTGAGATTATAAAACTGCTATAAAAGATATATTTATTTAAACAACTTGTAGACATCTTTAACAGGGAGGATTCTGGAGCGTGAAGTAAAACACATACTAACGTCACAGCATGTTTTTTATTTCCTCTCTGTAGCGTTTATGTCTCGTTTGCTGCTTTCAAAATAAAAAAAACTGAGGTATGATACCACGTGTGAATGAGAAAATGTGCACTTTTCCCATAGTGTTTGTGGAGAACAGGCAGATCAACTTAGTAATGCCATTAGATACAGCACGTTAAAATTTCAGACATGTCGACAGGAAAAATAGGCCACTCTCTCTATTGTTTACTGAACTGTTGCATAAAAACTCTGGGTTAGCCATGGAGAATGGTATGATTATTTGAATAATGTATGATTTCTAGTGATGCACCACGATAACAGTGTCTTTCATAAAGCTGTTATGATGACTTTCATTTCATAAGTCTAAGATATTGATAATTTTATAAGAAACATCACGATGAGCAAACTTGGAATGACATTTTCAATCATCCTTAAAATACAGTTATCTGTTATTTTTAGTTAAAAGTTTTTGTAAGTATTGATTAGGTATAAGATAATTTTTTATTATGAGAATTCCTGTCACTAAAATGGGGGCCCAAAGGATTTTTAGACATCAGGCACTATTTCTGGGAATTCTATTTTAATTAAGGAGGGGCTTGGTCAGAGCATCTGTAAAAAACAAAAAACAAAACAAAAAAAAACATTAAGCAATTAAGGATGTCATTTGATGAACTGACCTCTTTGGCCAAACCACCCATTTCCAAAGTCAATTTCCTGGAACTCTTATTTATTTTCTAATCGGACATCAAGTATCAATGTATTCTCTCAAAATTTCACTTTTATTTGATAGACCAACATAAAGTAGTGCGTATTTGTGATGTGGAAGAAAATCTACAAATAGTTTGTTTCTATACTTTTATACTTTATACTTACACATTTTGAAAGACTGGCATGCATTTGGGATCCGTCCTCCAGAGTCAGTATTTTCTATCACCTTCCACCTTCCTCTCAGCTTTGAGTCCTTTTGAGTTTGTGTCTTGTAGGGTTGCCACATCAATAATCAGCAACCACCCACTTTGCCAACTATGTTTAGCACAGTCTATTTTAAATGCTTGCCACAGATTCTCAACTGTATTCTGACTAGGCAATTCTAACACTAGAAAAAGCCTTGAGGGCTCAATAGCAGTTGCTTATCCTTAGGGTAATTGTCTGGAATGTAATCCTCTGACAGCTTTTCTTCTAGGATTTCCTAGAAGAAGTTAGATCCACTCATTGCCCTATTAACACTAACCAGCTTCCCTGCAGATGCAGAAGGAAAGCATACCCACAGCATGATGCATCCCCTACCACAGTCTACTGTGGAATTGCTGTGTTCAATTGGATGTGGAGTGTAAGTTTAGGGTTGTATCTGAGGGATTTTACAGCTCTTATTGAGGTAACATGAGCCAATAGGCTGCACTAAATAATGCTCTCCTAACCAGGTGGTGGCTTAATTTATGCATTTGCATATGATGAATTTAGAAAATGTTTAGTGAGACATCACAGCTTGACAAATTGTTTAACAATATAACCTAATCCTCTGTTAAATTACTTAACAGTTTTCCATCTGAGTTTTCTGCTGTGTCTCTTGGTCTTTAGATCATTACCGTTTATTCACTTTAGTTTGATAGCAAGCCTCCCAGGTCATCACAGAACATCTGGATTTATAGTAAAATCAAATCACACCTAAGTGGACTTTTTTTTTTTTGATGATTGAATTTCCTATAAGGGTATCGGTTAAAAAAAGGACTGAGGAGAAACACAAATTATACTTAAAAATAATAATAATAATAATAATAACACTCAGCAATGTAAAAAGTTCAGTTCCAGTCATATAAAACAGCCTTAAAACTATCCCACATCTATCATTTCCAGAGGTTGCAGAGCAATCCACATGAAAGTGATCATCCTTTTTTTCTATAGAAAGTAACCAGCCTTCTTTGTCAGCTTTTTAAATATTCTGAAGTCCCTTTGCTCTGACTTTGCAACCCAAACAGATTATGGCAGAAGGACTCGTAATGTGTTGCTTCAAACCAAACCTAAGCTTTCAGAGGGAATCAGCTCTATGCCCTCTTTTTAGACAGCTTCACAGTTGTATATTCAGTCCAGTCTTTTACGTTTAAGGAAGGAAGACGATGATATTTTCACTCCTCCACCATCTCAACTTAATATCAACTTAATAGTTTGCCCTGAAATCATAGGGTTGATGGTTCGAGGGCTCCGGCTTTCAGTGTCTTTGTGTCTTTGGGGAAGACACTTTACCTGCATTACCTACTGATGGTGGTTAGAGGGCCTGGTGGCACCAGTGTACGCCCCACAGCAGCTGTGGCTACAATGTAGCTCACCCCCATCAGTGTGTGACTGTGTGCATGGTGAATGACTGAATGTAGTGTAAAAAGCCTTGGTCAAGTTTTCTGACTTGAAAAAGCTCTATATAAATACAGGCTGTTTATTATTTACGAACTTCCTGACTTGTAAATAATAACTTGTAATAGATTAGTTCATTAGACCTGCCTTGCAAAGCAAAATAACATTAAAAACAACTATTATGCACAGGATTC